TTGCGATGAATAGAGAAATGTATCTCGGATGAGAAGCAATTGTAGCTAACTAGGTATCGTTGTCTTGGTTCTCGTCCACTCTCAAAGAATCGTCTGGCAGCTCGCTCTAGAGTTCAATCGCATGCAATAAGCCGGTGATGAGATTGTCGCTCGCAGTGCCCGCAGTATATATCTGGTTTTTAACTCATGGGAAACAACGAGTGTACACCGTTGGCCGAATAGAACTTTTAACAGATATTTATTCCCCGAAAGTGGCGCGGGGCGCAGAGCTTGGTCCGATAAATGCAATTACTTGATGATTTTGTGATTTTTTCGCTATACCGGAATATGCATCACATATAGACGTCTATTGGCGCGACTTTTCCTGGAACGTGTTGATGCGGTTGTCGCTCATGAGCCGGATCGAGTTGCGGTGCGAGTTCCAGCTCGACTCGTTGACGTTGTCGCGGATCGGGCTGCCGCGGTTCTCTTTGCTCCAGTGCACGTGCGGGCAGCTTGTCAGGTAGCGCACCGACGCGCCGCCAGCAAGCGCGCATGCGCCGACGATGACGCCGATGACGGGCCACGCGGCCGTGTCACGGAGCCAGGCCTGGGCGAACGTCGTGGCTTTCGCGCGATGGGCCATAGTGCTGCTGGAGGAAAAAATGAAAAGTGAAGAAGTTGTGCAAAGATTGTTGGCGTCGTCCCGGTACGAGACGACGGGTGTGCTCGCGTACCATCGGTATTCAGTGCTGGTAGAGAGTGCCATCTGGGGGTGTATGGAGGGTGCGATTAGTGGTACGGTTATGCGTATTGAGCACACTTAACCATGTACTAGCCAGTGTGTACTAGCGTCCTTGTATCGCCACAAAGTATCGCCAAGACAGTATGCTCGGCTCAACGCCAGGCTTGCCGCTCTGCACGTCAAATATCCGTATCCGGATAAAGATACCCCGGCGATCTATCGACCAGATATAGCCAGCATTGATAACCGCGTCAAATTTCACACTTGTCTTGCTAGATAAGGGGACAGAAACAGAGAGTCAACGCACTGCAAAGTGGCACCTCACAACATCTTCAGAAGTGTAAAGTCGAATGCCGCACTGACAATTGGCTGCTCGCGTTGCCTAGCGGAGATAAAGCACCAAGCGTATAAGCACCGTCCAACTTGACTCGTTCGTTTCCCGATATGTGTAGCATTCAACGCCACAATTACGACTACAGGTGCGATGTTTGGGGCTTGACAGCGCGACAACAGTTTCATAGCCCATGGCCTGTCAATAGCGAGAAAGGAAGTCCATTCCATCCATCTCCAGCCCGCCCTTTTGTAAGAAAAGGGGCCACAACACCACCATTGGCCTGTCGGCTGTTCACGATAACACAGGCAGCAGGTCAGTTTGCTTTTTGCTCTCTTCCGACAGAGTCTTCCCTCAACGATTTCGACGGCATGCTTACTATCGTTCGCGCCTTGCTCCTGATGACGGTGGCTGTCGCCGCGACGCCGTGCACGTCGACACAGAAAGACCAAATGCTCTCGACGATCACCAACGATGCGCAGTGGGCGGCTTGCCAAAAGGCGACCGCACCGTACGATTTCTACAAGTCGCTCACGCAGGTGAGTCCGGCGCCGACGTCGGCGCAGATGCAGCTCTTTGCTTCAACACCGGCATGTGCGGCGGTCTACGCAGACTTTCAAGCGTCGCTCAAGGCCGCCAACTGCGACGAAATCAAGGCCATGATCGGCCTCGAGTATGCTCCATTTGTGCAACTGACGTCGCCGCCGACCGACACGACAGTCGCTCCGGCCCCCGCGACTCCAATGTCGAAGGCCGTTGCGACGCCATCTGCTCCGACGTCGATGCCGGCGCCAACGATGGCCACGTCGGCAGCGTCAGCGGTAGCGGTGACGCTTGCGGCTACCGCTGTTGGTTTCGCTGTTTGCCTTTGAGCTACCTTTCTTACTCGGTGAAGCGACGCCGCAGCTTATGCATCATACATTCTCCAAGTCAACGAGCACTGTGGTTCACCCACAATTTTAAATTTTCACATGGCTTCTTCGCTCAGGGGGAAAAAAGGGCGCGAGGCCTGCATTACCGCTGCACCTCGGGTGAGGCGTGGCGGGTTGCTTAGCGGAGATCGAAAACTGAATGCTAGGCTCTTCCGACCAGTCGTTGGTTTCGCTGAGCCGCCTTCTCCTGAAAAGACCGTTTCGACTCCTTGCAGGCGCGAAACACC